TTGCCTCTATCAACCACCGAGATTTCAATATTTTACAATACTGCTGCTAGAGTTTACTCGTCGAGTTGAAACGACAAAATAGAATCCAAGAAAAATCGTATTAGCGGATAATGCGATGTATTAATTAATATATAATAGATAATGAGATGTATTAATTAATATATAATAGATAAATGAGATGTATTAATTAATATATAATAGTAATGGAGATTATTAGATAATATATAGATAGGATACAGAGATGTATTAATTATAGTATAATCAGAGTATATAGAATGATAAATGTAATATAGAAGAAGGATAATAAGATGTATTAATTAATATCTAGATAGATAATGAGATGATTAATTAATATACTAAAGTAGTATCGAGAGTATTAATAATTCAATAATAGATAGATGAGACTGTATTAATTAATATAATAATAGATAATAGTATATATACGACATGTCCACGCCATAGAACGTCGGCATGCAAAAAAAAAAATTCTTTCTCAAAGTAAAAATATTCTTCACATCTTAGCATCACAAACGGCTGTTAGGTTAAAGTATTAGGTGTCTAGGTGCGGTGTAGCGTAGGCGCAAGGGCGTAGCCAGGAATTTGGATGGGGGGGGTCCTCGAGCGAGTAACAAGAGGGTCTTTTTTTTGTTAAATGTAAAAATAGTGCTTTAAAATAAATTTAGACGCTGTTTTGTTTATTTTTTTTAACGAGGCCAGGATTAGGCCAGCTACGCGCTTTTAAGAAAAAAAGAAAATAGAGAATTTTTTTGGATTTTGATTTTGATTGGGGGGTCCTAGGGCCCCAGGACCCCCCCCCTGGCTACGCGCTTGACAGTAAGTGCGTATGATGTAGCGATGCAGTAACTGCATACGTTGTACTCGAGGTGCTTGCGACCTCTACTGGTAACGGTTCAAGGTTGCTTCAAGGTCGATTAATGTCATTTAAAGACAATCAATGTCAGTTGAATGTCACTCTGATAAAACATTTTCGTAAATATGCTTACTCTAATATTGTTAGACTTTGTCGTCGATGTCATTATTCAAGCTTGGTTAACGATTTCCGTGGATATCCTTTCTCTAGTTTTGTTAAACATTGTACGTGGATATTATATTCAAGCGTGGTTAACGATTTCCGTGGATATCCTTACTCTAGTTTTGTTAAATGTTTTCCTGGATATTCTCATTTTAGTTGTGTGGAGTGTTTTCGTAGTTATACTCATTATTGTTGTTTTTTTGCTGCTGCCATTTCTTTGTTCTTGTTTCTTTCTTCGTGTGAATTAGTTTGCTGCACTAGAGATGTTGGTCACTGTCGTCTGCGATGGATTTCCCGCCACGCGCCGATTGAAGCCGCTAGTGGGCGCTGGCATCGCCGTAACTCTTTACCTCCTGGCGCTACCGATGTGCACAGGGGTGAGTTAGAGTTGGGGAAGGACGTTAGCACTGACGGCTGAGCAATGTACCAACTGCAAAGTCGACCAGAGCATCGTTAAGGTTTACTGTATGATTGATTGATTGATTGATTGATTGATCAATTGATTATTTTATTGATTAATTGATTGATTGAGTGATATATTAGTTAATCGATTGATCAATTATTTTATTGATTACTTTATTGATTGAGTGATATATTGATTGATCGATTGATCGATTGATTGCTTGATTGATTGTTCTTTTTAGGCAGGTCTGTATTGGATCGACCTGCTGAATACCTATGCAGCTTCGTGGTCAATGATACTAGTGGGTTTGGGCGAGGCGATCGTGGTAGCATGGCTGTACGGTGAGCACTGATGAATTAGCCTTTGAAATTTCAAACAAACTATGCTCTCTGTATGATCCACCGAGAATTGAGATCTTTATGCCATAAAAAATACAACGTAATAAAAATAATA